CATTGCTTATGCTTTTGAGCCCATTCAGCGTGTGACTCTAGAGACATGTGAATTAACTTTAAATTTAACCGTTTCATTTCAGTTACCAGCAGTTTAACGCTTTCTTAGTGTTTGTGTCCAGATTGTTGGAGCACAGGAACTAAAAGCTGCTTCTCCATGTTTAGGTCTGGTTCTGGTTATTATTATTTCAAACCAAATGAAGGTTTTACCTGTAAAACCTTCATTTGTAAGAAAGTGACAGTGAAGGGGTTTGATAGCTTGTATGATCTTTCTCCGCTTCTCGATTTCTCGATAGAACCGAATGAACATTTCACTCAACAAACTGAACCATGTATTCTCGGTCCACAGAACACTTAATTAGCATGTACATGGATATCTGGGGTCAGCTTCATAGATACAACTTTAATTTCTCTTTACGATCAATAAATTATTCTTGAATCAAATTTACATTGCATTTACATTTTAATTCAATGATTTTATTGATTGTGGTTTTGTAAAAAGTGTTCATGCAGCTCTCTAGCAAAACATTAAATGAACACATCTATCTGATACTTGGTCTGCAGTAATCATCCCATAACCTTAGCTGACACACAGAGAAAGAACTAAATTATAAAAGAAAACTTAACTTCAGATATTTTCTTTAAAACTGAAAGCTGCCAAGTCTTTAAATCTCTGCCTCATTTTTTGTTGTTGTTGTTGTTGCTGGCATCAAATTGAGATTTATCTAAGAATTAAGGATAAAATTAGATTTCAGCAAAGATAATCCTCTCAGTTTCTTTGCTTGCAGCATCTGCATAAAGTTAGATCTTTACCATCAACAGCAGAGGGGAGGATGATTACAAACCCCTGGGCAGTCAGCTGTATTATTAAGCAAGTCTTTAGGTACCTTGCAATTAGTCCAACATGTCCACTAATTGGCTCTTTAGTCTATACGTGTATCTAAAAAAAGAAAACTGCTCTGCGGTATATATGTAGTGTTGAAAAGAAAAGGTATATCAGGGTATAGACAACTGAATAAATCTCTCTCAGGGCCATAAGTCCAGCTAAGGGTTTGAATATCATTATTTGAGCATTTGTCCTGCAACATAATGTGATGTTAGGTCAGACATGGAGCTATCTTTGTTTGTTTTTTGCCAGGTAGTTGCCTGTTCGCTGGTTTTACAAAAAAATAATAATAATAATAATAATAATTTATTTAATTAACTACTAAGAGGAAAACTACATGATTTAGGTAATTAAACATTTTATCCAGATTTTTCATATATGGAATTAACTGATGGACAAAATGAAAAATCTCTTTTATTTTTCACCCAAAGATGACTTTGGTCATAAAAGTCATTTTTATTGGGATTATTTTTTTAATTATGAAATTAAATAATAATATTGTTTTAAATGCAGGAATTCATTGACATATACATTTTATTATATTCCTTTACTCTAAGCTATCTGTTCAGCAGAATCATCATGAAATGATATAAACCTTCAACCTCACCAATGAAACTCAGTGGGAGGGACCAGGACCACTGATGTCTGATTGGCTGTTTATCACTGAGAAAGATTGGATAACCTCTTTATGGTTTTATTTTATTCTACAGTCAAAATCATAACTGAAAAAGGCATTCATTGATTTATTTCAGTATTGATTTGCTCTTATTTATCTAATGCTATATTTATTACGCTCTGAAGCTTTTGCATGTATCTCTCCTCCAACACACCCGTAACAGAAGGCCAAATTACCTCCTTGGCATATTAGTAAGTTTAGCAGAGGCTTTGCCATTAACCATTGATTTGTTTCAGGTGAAGAAGAGAAGCATGCAAAAGTGGCAGGACAGTGGCACTGGAGTGGCGCTCTGCCTACCCCTGCCCTACGTCATTCACCACTGTTGTTCTGTCAAGACATGGCATGATGCTAAGTCAATACATCCACCAAGGGTTGCACTAAAAATATTGTCAATGGCTTATTAGGTATCAAAACCTTCTGCTTCTTAACTTTTCTTTCAATGAGAAACAATGTGAAAAAAGAGGGACAGCTTAAACTTTTTTGGCCTGTATTCAGTCCAATAATGGAACATGGCAATGATAAACTTACATTGTTCAGGACCCTCTCAGTCTCAGGACAGCTCCTCCTTGACATCTTCATATAAATTCAACCTCTTCTGTCTCACAGAAATGTGAAAAAAAAAACAATGACTTCTCTGAGCTAAATGAGCCAATGCTTACTTAGTTTGATTACCACTCTTTGCCTCACCAAACCAGAGGAGAAACACTCTGTTTTCATTTCTCCTGCATCACCTGGATGCCGTGAAATGGCCCTGCCCTGGCTCTACTGATGTATTACTCTCCAAATCCCAGCAAAGGTCTTATCATTGATTATTTTATCTTATCTTACCTGTCTGCTCACTCACGCCTGACAGTTCAGGTGTCCAAAAATACCCTTAATTTGACATATTTTGGATATAATCAGCTGTTTTGATGCTCTTCCTAATCCATTTTTATGTTAATTTGTGACTATGTAAAGCTAATCCTTAATGTGACATTTTCTTCTGCAATAGTAGGAATATCTTTCACAATAGGTACTGACTATCCTTAAGCACCAACCTTTCAGCTTGTCTCAGGTTAGGTTGTGCAGCTTTCATAAAAGAAGTTTGGGTTAAGGAGAAATACTAAATGTGGATAAGATATTTCACATGTATGAAGCCGAGCTTATGTGTGTCAACACACATTTTACCTTCAGGGTGTCCTTCCCAATTTAATTGTGGGTATTTGCCTGTTCCATCTTTGCCCTGAAAAACGTATGCAAATCAGTATAAATACCTGGAAAGCACCAACCATGCGTCCAAATAACCATGACAACGGGGCTGTCAGACTGTCACAGAGAGACTTTATCAGCACATCTCAAGTATGATTGTTATATAAAAACTGAAAAGCCATACTTAATAATAAAGTTTAAAAAAATAGTCTGTCAGTATTTTTATTTTACATTATTTAAGGTTTAACTTAATCATCATAATATATACCAAATCATAATAATTCACATAAATATGTCCTTCTTTTATTGGACATCAGATAAAAACAAACAAAGGCAGCCTTTGAACAGAGAACCTGCTGGAAGTCTGTTCTGTGACATGGATCAAGCAGGAGCTCTGCTATTAAATGGAAATGCATTCTATTCATAAATTCATTCACAGATGGTGTCCTTTTAGCAGTTTGAGTACAGTCATCGCCTGGAACCATTTTTTTCTTTAAATAAAGTTATGAATTTTCAGGAGCAGTTTATATTATAAACTTCTATTAAATATTTCCCTGGTCAATCTGGAAGGCCGGTATCCTTCCACAGTTATGTTTATGGAAATGTGTGATTTTCTACATTTTGTCAACATTAGAAATCCTCACACTTGACTTATTTATCTGCTGATCCACCAGGGTTTTAAGTTCTTTTTTTTTTTTTTTTATGAAACTGAGTTGTAATCGCTGCTTCCCTGATCAATGCTTTCCTTTCTCAGCCTGTCACTTCTGGTGGATGTCTTTGTCATATCGTTGATGCTTTCTAACCGATCCATTGTATTAGAGTGTTGAAAGATTTAAAAAAAAATGGTTCTCAGTTAGAAACTTAAGACATAAATACAACAGAGGAACACACTTTTTTTTTTACCTTATATAAAACATGAAAACCATCATGCTTTTTTCTACCCTACAGTTTCCCACTACTCTTTTCATTGTCTATTATGTTAATTTGCAGTAACATATATATTTGTTGGTGATTTTTGGGAAAAATGCAATAAATCAGCTCTTAGTACTTTGAATTTTAGCAGCCGAAAAATAGTAATTTAATGGTTCGTTAAAAAAAAAAAAACTGAAAATCTGATTGTATTTATCAGTCAAGATTGATATAAAAATCCTCTGAATCAAATGGATTGAGTCAAATTCCTCTGTTTCTGACTGGAATTATTTGATTCAGGCATATAAAGTTAGAGATGCATCTAAAAGGTGACGACTGGATTCTGACATCTGACATATAAAGGTATCCATAGTTGATTAAGAGGATTTGAAGTAGAAGAACAAAATTTAAAAAACACGGTTACAACTTATATGAAGTATGATGATATCTCTCAGGGGGTTCTACTTTTCCTCTGTTAACACAAACAGCAAGAAAACATCTGATTTCACCTTGTTTTTTAAAGCATGCCTTATCAATCTAATCAATGGATTTATATTTATATTTGTGAACTATTGAGGACATGTTTACTCTTTTGAAGGATTAGGCACAAATGTAAAACAAAGACGCTGTAGATTGTGTAACCCTCCCGCAATAAATAGTAGTTTATATATTCCATTGTAAAGTGTAATTGTGGTTTGGGGTTTTCATTATATGAGTAAATCATTATCATCATCTGTGTAATCAGTTTAAGCTTATTTTTAACATTTTTTGTTTTACCTAGAACTGATACATCCAGAATATTATGAAATTCAGTTATCAAAGTCAAAGATCTACTATTATTTCTATGTGGCTAAAGGTGCCAGAAGGTGTGCTGTTTTAGTATAAGAGCTTTTCAAAAAATGATTTCTCTAACAGAGCACTGTAATATCACTGTTTGCTCTGCCTGGATAATATTGCTGTAAAAGGTTCCAATGTTGACATGAAGACCCCAGCCTTTCTCTGCCTGTAACTGCAGGGAAAGCCCAGCTTAATCCTCACTTCATTTGGAACCAGTCTCCATTTGTTTCATCTTTTTCTCAGTAAATCTGCAGTTAAGCTCAGTGTTCCATGCTCTATAAAAACATGTATTTCTTCCACATAGAAAAAGAACTGAAGCCGAACTTTAACATGTTAATTTGAAAGATGGAAAAAGATTCAATTTAAAAGCAAAGGAGAAAAGAAAAAAAAGATCCAAACTGCATAAAGCTTATTGTATATTTCCAAAAATGTAATAATAAACAAAAGGGCATTTTTTTCTCTAATAATAAATGTGTTTTTTCTTCTTCTTCTTTTTATCCAACAGGCTGGCCTTTCTCTAACACAGTGTGCAAGATGAGTGGGTTTGTGCAGGGTGTATCTGTGTCAGCCTCGGTCTTCACCCTGGTAGCGATCGCTGTTGAAAGGTTAGTCTGTAAGAACTGGAGTCCATTCCAACCACCGTCTAGTTAAACTATGATCGTTTATTGGTGAATTGACATGATCTTTAATCTTTTCTCTTTTATTTTATTATGAATAATTGGAAATTATAATTAATTTTGTATTATTCTAATCAAAGGAATAATTGTCATGATGGGATTAAGGTGCCTAACCCACATGCAGAAATCACTCAAGAGACTGAGAAAAAGTTCAAAGGTTTATTAACAATGAAGCACAATAAATAAAGAACTGGTCCTTGGTAGGTTGACTGGTCATGCAGGGGCTCTCCACTGAGGGGGGACAGAGTGGTTAGTATAGATCCAAGTATTGCAGGTTTTCTGATGTACGAGGGGGGGAACCTTGAGGGTCCAGAGGCTTGTCGACAGGCAGAGGGCTGAGGGCGGAGGCTTACTGAGTGCAGGCAGACGGGTTCCAAACTGAGTTCCCTCTCAGTTTTCTCTGAGAGCGGGCAGGCAGATTTGAGGCAGATACAACCCTCCAGGGTTTCACTGAGAGCAGACAGGCGGACTCCTGAAAGAGTCTTCTCTCCAGGATTTTGGATTGTCAGGCAGGAATATTTGAGAGACAGAAAAAGACTGGATCAGAAAGGTTCACAAAATCTTAGGTTCAGAAAGCAGGCTGGCTCAGGCTTTGCTAACCATTACTGGCAAACACTCTGGCACTGGAGTGTCAGTCTCCGCCTCCTTAAGTAGGAGCCTCCTGATGAGCAGATTGAAGACAGGTGTTGCAGTCAGCCCATGCCCCCAGGAGATCTAGTGCGCCCTCTGGTGGAGAAGGTGGACATAGCCTCCAGATCCTAACAATAATACATAATCAAATAAGGTAAAATGCGTCAAACAATTTTGATTGACGGCTATAAGTTTTCAAATATTATAACTAACAATTTGGTTTAATAATTACCAGTTGTTAACTTGTTTACTTAAATACGGGTATTTATTCAGTTAGGACTGAGTTATATTAACCAGCAGTAAGTGTTAGTGCCTTCATTTATAACTGCAGTTGGAATTATTATTTGATCGTTAATTTAGTTTTTACCATAAATAGGCTTACCATAATTAAGCTGCATTTCAGCTTAATTACTGATATAAAATTACCACAGAAAGCCACAGTTCATCCAGTCAAAATACCAATAATGGGGAGTGGCGGCCTGGTGGTTGGGGCTTAGAGCTTGCAAACCTGAGGTTGTGAGTTTGAAACTCACTCCCACAGACTGCCACTCTGGCTCTCTGAGCAAGACTCTTAACCCCTGACTGCTCCCTGGGTGCCCCACGATGGCAGCCCACTGCTCCCCCAGGGGATGGGTTCAATGCAGAGGTAAATTTCTTCATCCATCCACTTTGTGGTCAAGCTTATCCCAAGCAGGGGGTGCTGGTGCCAATCTGCAGCTGTCTACGTGCGGGCGGCGGGGCACACCCTGGACAGGTTGCCAGCCCATCGCACGGCAACACAGAGACAAAAAGGACAAACAACCATTCATGTACACACTCACACCTAAGGAGAATTTACAGAAACCAATTAACCTAACAGTCATGCTTTTGGATCAATAAAGTCCAATTAAAGCAAATAAAAAGTAAATGATTCCCTGTTACAGCATATCTGTTTATTAATACTACTCGTTTAAAGCTATTGGTTTACCAATGTGGATCTGCATGGATAATTCCAGCCAACCCACAGTGACGTCTCCTCAGAGTAGTTCTTGCTGACTAGCACCCTTGGATTACTTTTAAAGGTGAGGAGACCAGTTTTTAGACATATTTTTAATAAAAATAACCAGAAAATAACATTGTTGCAATGTTTTTGTTCCTTTGAAAAAAGTTTCTTTTTTGCAAACTGCAGCATTGATAAACATGAAGACACTATTTTTACCACAGAGATTTACTATATCTGCAGCAGTTAGTTGCACCTGTCTTTCTGGATATTTTAGCCATGCATATGAAGGTTATTGATAAGAGAAGCAATAAAAGTTTTCTTTTCTTGATTTTTCTTTTTATTCTTCTTCTTTTCTTTGTTTTTTGTGTGTAAAATGTTCTTTCCCTGTTCCTTTTTAAACATAACAGTGTGATATTTCCTTGAATAAAAAAAAAAAACTTAGGTCCTGATTATTATTTATTTCATATGAACAGAAAAAGATGTTTTTCTTCTCCCCTGCTGGCACCTTCTGCACATAATAATAATGTCAGCATTCCCTTCACTGTTTAAAATGTTTTTTTAGTTTTTTGATGCTGAAAAGCTTGTGAGGAACAAGTTAGGCAATACTTCCACTTGGAAATATACAGCAAGTAGTCAAATAAAATTTAGACTTAATTTTTTGTAAACAGAAAAAGAGATATCAGTCTGTTCAAGTCTGTGTATGAAAAACTGTTTTTCTACCATGATCACTATTGGGATTAAAAGCCATCACACCCATCCTTATCAATGACATCTCAATCCCACATCCACAAGAGCAATTTATCAACTCTGAGCAGTTATTTATAGTAGAGAAATATACTTCATGGAGCAATATGTCCATTCTCAATGCTTTAGAGAAGCTTTGTAGGATGGTACTCTCAATAATCTCTGTTTCTTAGGGATGTCAAATGATTTATTTCTCTGCTTGGGAACTTAAATTTCCCTTGATAGTAGAAGGGAGGGAAGATCATGATTGCTCTCCTCATCAAACACACTCTGACCTGCAGTTCAACTAAACTAGGATTTAAAGTCACAATCAAGGCAGGTGTGGAAATGTAATGACAGCTACTGCTCCAGCATATAACCTATCCACTGTTGTTATTTTAATTAACAACCATACAGGAATTTTAGCCAATAGAAGTCAAGCAGCATGTTAGGAAAACTTATAAGGAAAATCTAATAAGAAATAGTGAAATTGAAACTGTGTAGGCAGGCCATAATAACAAGAAGTAATCCTTTAAAGAGGCCTACAAAAAAAAAAAAAACACCAAAAAAACATATTTTCATCTTAAGTTCAAACAATATATGAGAAGTGTTTGATCTGATAGTGTTTACTTTGTCTTTTTAGAGCATGAAACTATTTTTTGCACAGGGCTTGATCAGCAGACACATAAACATTGCTGCACTCCATCTCAATCTGCTGGCAGTGGAAAACTCACGCTTTTATCAACCTGCCACTTTTGGAGCGTTAATATGGAGGTTATGTCCCCCTGAAGGAAGCTGCGCCTCGGAACTTCCCTACCGGTTCTTTTCCTGGGAGCAAGTTATTTACTACTCTTAACTCAAACTGGGTAAAACCGTGTAAAAAAAAAAAAAGGACTATAAAAACAGGAGTAAAAAAGTAACAGAGTTTATTCCAGATCAGGTCGTTACAGTACAGAGAAATTGCTTGGAGTTTGCACAGCTGTGGGCTCAAAAAACGTCAGTGAGCGTCCGGCAAAATTGAGCAAAGATTGAGGCTCAAACAAGGTCATCTCCTCCTTCTTATACCTCATGAGTTCATGTTTTGCATCAGGTGGAAGCTCAGCTGTCCGTATCAGAAACTGACACGCCTTCCATGCCCTAACCTGTATGCATCTTGCCTCTATGCCCAAGAATTACAGATAGCTCCCCTTTATCAGACCGGCTCCAAGATGTGCCCATATCCTGTGTATTTCTGAAGACACGAAGGCTGTCGTGATTAGATTAGACCTCCATACACACAGTGACATCCACAATGTGAAGGAAGGCCCTCTACTCTGTCTAATCTGGCTAACAGAATAACAATGCACATGATGTATAAAGAATAAACCTAACAGGAGCTTTAACTCCAACTTCTTACTCCAAAATTTATAAATTCTTTGTGTAATCAAGTTTTACCCCTCTTAGCATCCAGAATATTTTTGTGCCTCTTCAGATTTCATCTTTGTCTTCTATCTCACGCAGGAAATGACTTCCCCACCGCACAATTTGTCTTGTAAATACTCCACTTAGTTTATTGATCAACCAGACAAAAAAGTGTAAAACACAGAAACAAGATAAAATATGCCAGCAGGGTGTCATAATTTAATCAAAAAGCTTTCATAATCAACCGTATTGAGCTATTGTTATTGGAATCCATAAATTCATAAATGCATGAATAGACTCTTTTAACACAAGGACAACAAACTTCACTTTTAAAGAGCAGGGTTTGTCTAACCTGAACCAATTAGTGCCATTATTGGTTCAGGAGGTGAACTCTGTGAGGAGTTAATTTTGCCATTTGATTCACATGTCTATGAACAGGGAAACTACTATAACTTGAAGGAGATCTCTACTTTAACTTACATATATGCTTAGTTTTTAGTTACATTTTGGAAAACTCTGCTAATTTTCTTGAAATGGTTTTGCGCATAAAATCACACAATGATAGTTCTGATAGAATGGTTCTCTCGTTGTGGGTAAGAAGGATAACATACCAGCAATTTAGGAATTATACTATATATTTACAATAAGTGACTGTCATGAAATCTGTCCAACTGATCAATAATGGCATTTGTTTACATAGATAATTTTAACAGAATCTATAGATCTACTTATAGGCCCTTGTACATATATGACATATGGATCAATGTTCTGCTTTATTTTTTTTAATGATCATTATTATTTTTTCCTCACTAATTAGTGCCTGTGTCCTTCTCTGCTTTTCCACTATAGGTTCCGTTGTATTGTGTATCCTCTCCAGCCCAAGCTTACTCTCCTTGTTGCCAAGGTAGCCATTGTGTCTATCTGGGTGTTAGCAGTAGCAATTATGTGTCCTGCTGCAATAGCACTGACTGTGGAGAAAGTTCCTTTCCATTACATGGTCTACAATGATGATTTCAATCACACGTTGCCCCTTTACACCTGCTATGAAAACTTTGCCAAGCCTCATATGAGAAAGGTCTACACGGCGGTTCTGTTCGCCCACATCTATCTGGTTCCCCTCACTGTCATCACGCTGATGTATGTAAGCATCGGGGTCAAACTCTGCTCCTCTGCTGTCACAAACAGACAACCACAACTGGCCAATGTCACAGTCCAGGCGGGAGGCAGAAGACATGCCCAACAAGTGGTATCCCAGAAAAAGATCAAGGTGATAAAAATGCTCATCGTAGTTGCTTTGCTTTTCATGCTCTCCTGGTTGCCCCTTTGGACTCTTATGTTAATGGCAGACTACGGTGGATTGAACAGAGACCAGCTGGATCTGCTCACCAGCTACGTCTTCCCCTTTGCCCACTGGTTAGCCTTTTCCAACTCCAGCGTGAATCCCATCGTCTATGGCTACTACAACAAGAACTTCAAGAGGGGCTTTCAAGCAGTGTGGAAGACAAAACCCATGTGCTGCTTCCCCCAGCTGAAGAGCAGAATGCCTCGATGGGGACGGAGAGCAAGATCTGCACATGCACCGTGTGAAGGAGCTGAACTAAGAGATGGCAGTAATAACCACGGAAACTTTCTGTTGGGACTAAGAAACCGTGTCCATAATGACAACAAACTGAGTGAAACCCCAGAAATAAACAGGAGCTCGAGGGTAGGCTGTGTGGTGGTCCACCAAGGTAGAAGTCTGTCAGAACAAGGGATAGAAATGGTAGCCATACATCAGAAAAGCAGCAACGAAGAAGGTTCTGAGAAGGTGAGCTCTCTCGCCGTTTCAGTGTATCAGGCATGGGATAACTGAGTAATAACTGTAACAAAATATGAACCAAACTAAGCCATACCATGATGCATGGATAAAGGAAACAATGCCTTATCAGTAGTGGTTAGTAAAGGATTGTTGCTCAAAACTCACCATGTCTTGACCACATAAAACCCAACACTTAGGCCCAGGTTCAAGTCTAAGATGTAACACCTGAATACTACTGCTTTGTTGCATTCATGGTGAAATAAAGGAACAAGATACTTTAATGTGATTACAATAAGCACACGCTTAAATCAAACAGATTACACTGATGTTGATTGTTACCAAGAAACAGAAAAGCACTCATCGAATCAGAAAACATCAACCTCCAAACAAACTTAAGATTTATTTTTTACTTTTAATATACTAGTTTGCGAAGCCTTTTCTCAGATATGTTTTACTTGGATCTTATGCTTTCAAGTAAAACGTAGAAGTTTCGATGATCCTGTAGATAGTCATTTCAAAGTAAATGTTCATCCATAAGTATGACAAATCTGTACCCAGTCTGCTAAATAGATGACGCAAAACATGCATTAAAGGCATTGAAGGTGATTTTATGGTGCATTAACATAAGTGCAACGAAGAACTTCATCACTCTGCCACTATCCATCCATCCATCCATCCATTTTCTAACGTTTTATCCCAAGTGGGGTTACGAGGGGTGCTGCTGCCTATCTGCAGCTGTCTACGGGAGATCACTCTGCCACTATCTTTTTTATCAAATAATTCTCTCCTACAGTAATGTATTGTAAAGATCAACATTAGACTAACCTAATGAGGATTTGCATTTTCATATCAACTGGTACGCCTTCATTTTGTCTCTTACAGCTGCATCATATCCATTTTGTTGGATTTTTTTTATGTGTTTTATGAATATTTCTTATGTCTCTTCTCTCATGAAACTATGCCTGATTATTGTATCATTAAACAGTTAGCATAGACTAAAAATATGTGCCTTTAAAAAGACTGAAACTACCTCTAATTCAAATACACAAAATTCAATAAAAAACTCTGCTTTTATGCACAATTAAGAACTTCACAAAAATCTGTTGGTAAACTACCTCAATTGACACCAGGGTCAATTTTATTTTAACTCAACATCAAACTAATTTAGCATCATGGTGATTTCAGAAAGTCTAACATAAACTAATACTGGAACTCTGAGCTGTTTATAGGATTTTCAAATAATTGGTACCCGTTGCTTCAAGCCTCCACCTTAACTCTGAGCTGCTCTGACTCAAAATAAAAGCTATTATCCACAAATAAACTAAAAGAAACACAAAGTCTAGACGCTCTACTTCTATTTTGAACCCATTTAATTTGAAAATAACCTTTTTTTCTACAGTTCTGATATTTCTGTCCTTTTTCGTGTTTCCAATAAGTAATTTAGTGCTGAACTGCTATAGACCAGGTTTCTCTTAACGTTAGTTCTGTCTGTTTCCACAGCCAAAGACCAAGTGCCAGATCTTCAAAAGGTTTGCGTGTAGAAACATGCTTGTACATGCAGACATCTTCAAAGAAGGTGCAAAGTGATTAGGATTTGCAATTCAGAAGACAGTCTGTGCAACCCTTATTTTTTGGTTGTGGGCCTTCATCAATATGAATATCATATTTTAATGACC